ATTGAACAATCTAAAAGCGTTTAGTAGAATGGAAATACTAAATTTTTCAAAAGGCCCTCAGATTCTGAATGAAAGAATTAATCTAATTTAGTTGGAGATTATGTAATCTTATGACAAGATATAGGCTATAATACGTGCTGGCCTTCTAGATCTAGTCATTTTATTTTCATAGAATTGCACCATATCAACTTAATCGTCTTTTCCGAAAATAGATTTACAAATATAATGTTCATTGGTGCTCATCTGCCTCTAATGTGGACCACACATTTCCCTTCCCAACTGTCTTCTTGTTGACATGCTAGAATGCTCTTGCCTTTTATGACCCAAGGTTTTGCTGTGTTGTGTATTAAGAGGTAGCAGTGAGATCTAACTAAATAATTTAATTAATACACATGGAAACAAACACACAAGGTGTGTCCTGTAGTATCTTAGCGGTGTGTATTGACTAGTTTTTAAATAGTGATATCTGTGTAAGAAGGCACCGAAATATATTTCCTCCAGAATATTAGCTTGCACACATCGTGATAAATAATTTGGGGCGCATCAATTTGGCTGCTTGACTAGTGGATAGCAATATGTCTGACCGCAATCACAGCACCCAAATCAGTGATCAAATAGCAGACCGCCAGACCCTAGAATATTAGTGTTCAATTTTGTAATTATCAAATAGCCAATGGACAAACCAGAAGATTTCATTAATATAAAATCTTCCATTTTTGTTGTTGGACAGGCATGTAATTTTCGGCATACTCATTGACTTGAATCTTTCTATAAAGAAGAATATATGCATGTTGAGTAATGGTTATTTCATCAGAACGATACTTGTATTCCGCATGAATTAAGGGGTAAATTTTGTTTCTCAGTCCTGTCATGGACTTGGATCAGAACTTCAGTCCTCAAATCGGGGAGTGACTTGGAATACTGCATAATTAGTAGTAGTTCATGTTCTACGTCCAATAGTCATGCTTATGCATGTTTGTTTTTTCCTTCCCATAATCTCTTCAGATCTTGTCTTCTAGTTCTTCCTGATTTGATCTTGTACATCATGCAGGTGGAGGGGATGAACGGCCTGGTTTCTCAACTTGCTGATGTTTCAGAAAAAGAAAGAGCCATGCTTGATGAATGTGAAACACTTATGGCTTCTATAGTTGCAACGCAGGTGAGATTAAAATTTTGTTATTTTCTGGTTCGGTTTGGGAATTCTTGGTTGCTGTGGCAAATCAATATCTTCTTTCACATCAAGAGTTGAAATGCTGGCATGTACAAGTAGAATTCCAATAGTCAGAGCTGTCTTGGTGTGTGCTTTAATAGTCCTACTTTGTCTTTTTTTCTAAAACTTGAAGTGCATGTTTGGTATACAATATTCTACTGTACTAGACCATACAAGACGAGATTTTAACTTCTCATCTTTGACAATCCAAAATTATCCAATACCCTGCTGAACAAGCCGGTAGTGGATATGTGTGAATAAATATGAAGAGTTTATCATAATATATATGCAGGGCCGGTCCTGTGATTGTTGGGGCACGAGGCAAAGCCTAAAAATTGGGCCCCCCTCTCGAAATCATCGTAAATGCACTGGATAAAGGATATATATGTATATATAGTTGGGTAATTGGACTAAGGCTAAGGGCATTGGATTGGATTTGGGTTTGAAGTTGTGGGCTGCATTTTTGCATCACTGGGTCTGGTTCAAGTTCAACTAAAAAAAAAAAAATAATAATTTAAATTTCTAGGCCCAAAGTGAGGCCCCCCAAGATGTTGGGCCTGACGCATAGGCCTCATTTGCCTAGTCCCAGGACCGGGCCTGGTAGTATATGTGCTGTCTGTGAACCCAAGATTGATATCTCAAACATAGTTATTATACAAAGGCCTGCTCGACTTCTTTGTGGAGGATTCTTCTGAGATATTTCTTCTTGGTTGGAGAATTTTTTTCTTTCTTTTTTTTCCAAAACTAAAGTATCACTTGTGATTGACTATCTGGCTTGTCTTTTTAGGCTATATTTATATTTTACGGCATGTGTAATAGCTGCTTAACTAGACTACACTGTGTTGAACAGGCGGAAGAGTACAGCCTTCGGACACATCTGTTACAGTTAAAACAAGCTTGGGAAGACAGTAAACCGCTGACATTTGAGTAAAAAAAAAAAAAAAATCCCGAAAAGTTTTCCATACGTGACATTCTAACTTCTTGAGCTCTTTCTCCTCAGGGACGACAAGAAGACTCTCTTGTGGCTTTAGTGAGTGTATAATTGATGTTTCTTTTGGTCACTTCTTATAGATAGAATTTGTAACGTATTCATCTTTACTCAGCCCGTCTTGGGCGGTTGCTTTATGCTTTCTACTTCTACATAAACTTTGTATAATTAATTAAAAGAAAAATTTCAAGGAAAGGAATCATGCACATCTAATGTTTTTGTATTTATTTTAGTTTTGAAATTTAATTTTCTCCAAACCTAGTAAAATCTTAGATCCCTTTGATTGCAAAAATAGAATTTGGGTGGAAAGAAAACGAATTTCAGGAAATTAGGGGGTGTTCTCTTTGTGTTTCAGTTTTGTGTTTTGAGTTTTGAATTCATTTTGAGTTTTGTGTTTTGAGTGTTTGTTTTGAAATTGTTGAAAATGCGTTCTTTTTGTTAGTTTCTCAAAACAAAAAAAAAATAAATTTTTTTTTTTGAAATTTTGAGAATCACCACACTATCTCCTCAAATTTTTTTTTTTAATTTTTATTTTTTTTTGAAATTTTGAGAATCACCACACCACCTCCTCAAAAAAAAAAAAAAAAAAAAAAAAAAAAAAAAGGT